TGCGGTCGCTTCCTAATTGGTGTCGCACAAATGCCTCGTCCTTTCAGGATCATTCGACTCAGCTCTAAGGCCTAGATGAAGGGCATCCCCCAGGTATAAAGAAGGGGCGATATCGCTCAATTCTTTTCCCAGCTTGATTTCTTCCATTCGAATTCCACCATCCGACAGCAAATTCACATTCACATCTTTACTTCTCTCACATCATCCTGATGGTATGCTTCATGACCTGCTTCACCTCTGCGGTAGCTCGACCCACACCTTTTCTTCGCGAGCATTGGATTTTAAACTTTGTTGTAATCGGTTACTTAGCATCTCATTATATGCTCTTGTAAAGCAGGCGGATGCAAGTGCTGATTTGCCGGGTATTGTCTTGTGAAGCTCAAAGGCTGTTGCGATTCGGGTTCGATATTCGTTGAGCGTAACTAGAATAAATTTATAAACGCCTTTGGAATATTTTGTACATGTCTCTGCAGAATTAGCCTCTCGTGAATCGACTCCTTTTTCAATTCCTCACCTTGAGACTGAAATGCCACACTACGACACGAGAATCGATTCATTATCCAGGACAAGATAGACGATAATTAATTCGAGACTGTACTTTTAAATGTAAATTATCCTTTACCACGAAAACATAATACTTTAAAGCACGAGAGCAAGAGTAACGATAAAAAACGAAAACTAAAAGACTGTAACCACGATATTCAGCGCCATCTTTCCTTTTTGACTGCCTCCAAAGAAGAAGGATAATATGCTAAGACTGTTGGTGCTGCTGATTCTCGATGTCAGCAGCGCCCTGCGAAGGGGGGTCGGAATCGTTATGAGAAGCCGAGGAAGAGGCCCTCAGTGGGGCTGTGGAGCTGGGTAGTGGTGGCAAGGACGATGCATCCATGGCGTATCCGGACCACGCAACAGAATCTGCTGTGGCACTGGTATGAGCTAAGGTTAATTGTAAGTAAAGGGAACATGAAAAAACCTTGAGTCCTTGTAGTTGGATGAAAAGGGCCTAGAAAATCTTGTCCGATGTTTGAGTCAACAAAGTAGTATCTGCCGCCGTGGACGGTGTTTGAGTCGTTGTTATGAGCCATGGCGTACAGCAGTAAGAGTATTAGGATTTGCTGGCAGCTGATGCCCTGGTAGGGAGGAAGTCGAAGGAAGAATATGCAGGAATACGATTCGGCTTTATAGGCACATCCGCGGTACAAATGTTTACCGTAATTGGTCAAGCCGTATTATTTAGGCAAATATTTTACGTCATTTTTTCGCGCTGGCAGCTTACCACTATTGGGGCGATCTGCGTCTATTACCCGGAAAATTATTAAAAATCGGATCTCTGAGGCGTTGCTTGAGATGGAAATAGCCCGTCTGTCCGATTTGTTCATGTTTCCGATCGTAAATTCCCATGGAATTGTGGCGTTCAAAGATCAAACTTCGAAATGGAGACCCCTCGAACACATTCTTTTAACTGTCCATTCAATGAATAATGAAGGATTCTTGGGCGCCTTCGTCCCGGAGTTCAGATATTAAATATGAGCCACCAAAATGAGTTTGAAATATATATACCGTGCAGAAAAGGGGCACTTTTGCGCACTTATAATATAAGCGTCCGACAAAATTTTTTATCCTCCTTTGTCGCTAGTGACCACTGGCATGCCAACTGGCTTCAATGTGACGGTTGAAATTTGAAACACAGTCGTACGGTAACGGAGAGTCTTACGAGTACAGCGCGTGATGAATACTTTCTTCTTCGAATAAATAGATATTCCCTCCCTTTGGTCAATGACGAAGGCATTTGGGAAGCCTTCGCGCCGCATTTTCAGTCACCAGGTGTATTTTTAGCGACAGAACGGCCTAGTGAGCCCGCCCGTGCATCATCACGTGGTGAACCAACCATTGCTTGGACCCATGACGCCGACGGTGACTACAAGGCCTTACCTGTCTCAATCATTGTCAAAGATAAGGACGACTCGTTGTCAGTCGTGTCTCGCGCCTACACGTCACATCTTTTGTTGCATTATTTCCTCTCGATCCAGCACCTCATAATCCTGCATCAACCACCGAAGAAATCTAAAAAAAATTGTGCGCTTGCGACATCATGGACGCTGAAGCCCTAGAACTCAGAGGGCAGTCGGGGTCAGGAATCTAATTTGGCTCTGAGGAGAAGTGGCGAGACAGTAGGAGATGAGTCGATGAAAATGATACGACCTTCTTAGGTGGTCCTGGGGCTACTAGCGAGGTTCGTGTTCACCTTCTTGCCAATTTTGTAATTTCTGAGCCACTCTCTTCTTGCCCATTAAGCAAGATATTGCGCACGTATACTTTGCCGATTGTTCCAAGAAATGCTATGGGAAAACCGACTCCTCACTCATTTGCAGTTTGTTCGCGAATTCGCTTTGGGTATATCAGTCATGACGGTACGCTCTTTGCACTCTTTTACCTCCTTTACCTCCATGCCGCTGTACTCATCCTACTCTATTTACGGGAGATCTGCTCTGATATCTGAGGCGTCGTCCAGCTAGACCTCCAACGCTTTTGGCACGTGGTAGGCCCGGTGTGCATACTTGATGGCTCGACCCCTTTCATTGCTGGGACTCATCGTGATTTCGATGCTCTCCAGCCACTTACAGGAAATCCCTCCGTACCCGGATACGACAACTTGACCTTCACTTGCTCCTTGTAAGTACTTCACAAATCGCTTGGTTGTTATCCAATTACTTACACGTTTCTGGTAAGATAAATCGAAAAGCCTGCCGAGCATTGAGTTCAATAGGGAGATCCCCTGAAGCCACGATAGCCTATGATACTTGATTGGCGGATGGCCCCATTGACGCTTCGGGCTGTCATAGCTCCCCCTTGTCGATTTATTATAGCAATGCAATGCGCCCTTCTGAACCATTAACTACGGTATAATTTCAATTTCTGACTATAAGAGGACTCGACAACGGTAAAGTGGTCTGCAGAGTGAAAGTATTGATTTACCGCGTTCATTAGTAGGTAGCGTCGACGATAAAGATACGTGGTAATACAAAGAGAGTTGATTGGAATAATGTACAAAAAGAGCTGATATGGCTTTCGGCGACTAGTACCCTTGGTTCATCTCGTCGTCCGAGTACTCGAAATCCTAATAACAGGTTAGCCTCAACGATCCCTCTTCCCCAAAGGCATTGAAACAGGAAGCTTACGCCTTCTTCTAAACTTCCGTCTTCTCCTTCGCTTAATTCTTCTTCTGCACTAGGGCTATTGTCGTCCTCGGAACGGGGTGCAACTTTTGCTCTTTGGATCGAATCCGCGATTGTTTTCCAATTTTCGGAAAATTTCGCCAAGATATTGGCTTTTTGTATTTCTGTTGGCGGTGAAATAGTGGGTATTGCGCTCGAGGCGCTGGAAGGCGTTGGTTCCTCTTCTTCGACAGTGCTATCCGATTCCCCGTCTGTGAGTTGGTCTGGGAGTTGGTCTGGGAGACCTTGCCGCTCCTGTTGTTGGGGACTGGGAGCCTCCAAGAGTTTAGGGTTGAAAACGTCCGTGTAGCCGAAATCAAAAAGCCGTCAAGAAAGGCTGAGGATTGTAGACGTCGGAAGTGTCCACAGAGGAGTCTCCTTCGAGTTCAGCCTGGGTGGCTAGGTGAATTTTGTGCGCGGCGCTGGCGTGGAAGTGGGAGGGAGCTTTCGAAAACATTGCAGGAGGAACTTTATGAGAGTAAGGGGACAATTTGATATAGGCTGCGTGCGTTGAGCTTATAGGCCCACACGGATGCGGTCGTATCTTCCAACCCAATTTAGGCAATCTCAAGAAAGAATTAAACCCCAAGAATGTGTAGGCGAGTTTGGTTTTATTTTCCCGACAAAGGGATGTGCTAGGTTGACCCTATATGACTTAATTTATCAAAATTTTCCGATCGCGCCCTGATAGAAATCTTGATTTCTTAAGGAAATTCCGGCTAGCCGAGTTTAAGGCGCATCATCTCTAGCGTATACCTACTTTCCCACATGACTTCCCATGACGTACCAATAGATCCAGAAACAATGGAATTTTATCGTTTTTTCTTTCGGAATTTGGGCGCCAAGGGTCTTGATCAAGCCCAGTGGCGTTCAAGAGTAACCAACCCAAATGCTGCTAATTTTGCAGACCTTCAAACTCAACAAGTTCCTTCCGATATACTATATCCGGCCCGGTAATGGGTCAGTCTAGCACTTTTACACCCATTGCTAGCCAGTATCTCAACGAAATACGGGCAAACCTGTACCATTCGGTGACCTAGAATGCGAGTTATGTGAATATCTAATTTTTGGAGCTCTATGAGTAAACTATTGCAAGCAGTGAACATTTTCTGATGGAGAGTCCAAATTGGTCAGATCCCCGGTAACGGGTCAGACCTCTTTTTCTCGCTCAGTATTTGCGCTAAAAATCTGAAAAAATCACAGGAGACTATTTACATCAATATAAATGTACCTTATAAATTTCAGGTTTTGGAGATCTCTTCTGAGTAGGCAATCTTGGTAACAAATTTCATCAGATTTAGGGCTTTGGCATGTGATCCACAGATAGTTGCAGAATTTGCACTACACAGGACCCTCTTCTGTGCCTCAAAATTTTTTGAAGGACTCCTGTATACTATATCAAGTTTCAGGCGGTTTTATGCCTGTCAACGTTCATTGTATCTTTCAGTAGAGTGGCATCAAGTGCTCATTGCAGGTCAGATTTTTGCCAAGTGTCACAGTATTAAGAAATTTACAACTTAATACCTCAAATTTTTGCGAACTTTAAACATTGATCCATATTCTGGTGATTTGACCCTATAAGTTGCAGCAGACCGCTTGCAAAAAGATTGAGAATTGGTCGAGCAATATGCATTTGACCCGTTTCTATATGTGACCCGTTACCGGGCCGGATACAGTATCAAACAACAACCAGAGAGTGGCTCAAACGTAGTTTCCTGCACAAAACACAAAACACATCAATTAATGAGGACAGTTGAGAGGTGATCGAATAAAAAGGAACAAAAATTCGGATACGGGGAATCGAACCCCGAGCTGCCGCGCACTACATTAGGTGAGAGGCGGCAATGTTAGCCGTTACACCATATCCGATATGACATGGCGTTATTTATTTATATTAATAGGTGTTGTCGCCACGATTTTTTTTCTGTCGCTTTCTTTGAACATGCTTTGCTGGTGATCGATTGATCATCGATGGGAACCGCAAAACTACCTGTCGTAAAAATCTCACTACATAATCGAACGCTCCAAAGGACCACCCTATAGAGATCAAGGTGACAGTTGTTTTGGCGCAGAGGTTGTAGCCTTAACTGATAACTACAATTTCAAAGAGTGTCCAACTCTGAGACGAATCTTGAGCCATTCGTCATTCTGCCGAGGCCTGCTCCAGATGGCCGTCATACCCAGTACAACGGGTGTGCTATTTTTCTCTTTCTTTCCTGGGGCTTGGTGATCTGCTCTGTAATGAAATCACGTTAGCCTTGGAACTTTCCCTTCAGATCGCTCGGGCACCTAAAATATCTCTATTGATCTTCCCAAAGAATGCCCTTCCTCGAGGTCAGAAGGCATAGGTGAGTGTCGTTCACATATACGAATTTCGATGGGTTCTGACGCTCGGATACCTACTTATCCTGTGAACTTGCGATCATAATCCGACTTTCTATTTCAGCCAGCTCGGTGTGAAGTAAAGTCTCTTCTCATATCCGCTTTATTGCACAGGCCATGTGACATTTGTGGGATCGTGAATAAGCCCTATCATCCACCTTATTCATGAATGCATGGCACGTCAAGCAACGTAGGAAGATTTCTCAGGAGGTGAGAGCATCGAGGTCTATATTTGCTTCAATTGGTATACATCGAACGGTATAAATGCAGTCCTTTTCATGATGAAGTCAGCTAAATCGCCGCCCACAATCGTTCTAACTCTTCACAACTTCTCCCTTTCACCGTCAATTATAAACCAAACATGGTCAGAGGTAAGTTCTCCCAAATTCTATGATCAGCTCGCTGTACTCATTTACGTCATTCCTTATTCAGCCGTTAACTTTGGCACCGTCGTTCCTGTCCCGGCGATACCTGGGCAAGAAGAAGCTCTCGCCAAGGTCTTCACTGAGCTGCAAGCGAAGGCCGTAGCCGAGCCAGAAGTCTACCAATGGTATGCCTCCAAGGTGATCGGCACTTCCGAATTCGTCGTCCTCGACACATTTTCCACAACCGAAGAGCGCGAAGCCCATTTCAAGGGAGCCTTGCCCAAGACATTGTTAGGTCATGGAGGAAATCTCATTGCTGCTGCTCCCAACCACGCGGAGATTTTGACAGAGATTCTTGCGTACAAGATTAATAAAGCTGGAGACGACGTCAAGACTGGTCTTACTACCGGTGTGAAGGCGACTTTCACCGCTAAGCCGGAAAAGAAGGAAGTCGTGAGGAAATTCCTCATCGTGAGTATCTGAGCACCCGGCCTTTGAATCGTTATCAATCTAATTACCAATGTGTTCCCAGGACGCCCTCCCTCTTGCAGAAGCCGAAATTGGAACCATTTCTTGGTATGCCCTTCACTGGCCGGGAACTGACAAGTTTGGCATCATGGACTTCTTCTCCAACGACGAAGCTCGGGAAGCCCACCTTTCGGGACCAATTGCTGCTGCGCTTGTCGCCTCTGTCGAGGAACTGCTGGCTGGTCCTCCAGATATTGTCAAACTCGAGGTTGTGTCAGCCAAAGTTGACCTTTGAGCGTGGGGGAAAGGAAGGCTTATCGAGTTATGTAGCTATCCGCACTCGGACAAATATTCTATTTTAAACTGTCGGAAGCAATTGGTGAATAAAGATTACGACGAAGAAGTTATTTGTATTCTGTTTGTGATTCGTTGCATCGACACTAAATCGACACTTATATTTACTGATTTTTTTCTACTTGTCGTTGTTCTCGGGCTTGCATTTACTAACCGATTTGATAGCGCCTTTGAAAATACGGGATTAAGTAAAATACAAATGATTCGATCAGGCAATATAAATGGCGTACGAGGAGCAGATTAGATAGTGATCTAGTTCATCGTCCCGTCCACTGACAGTACTTAAATTTTAACTTACGCTGAATGGGCATCGACGGGTTTTAATTGCTAACCGGACACAATGGTGACGCACACACAAACGATGTCCGGATTTTTGTAAGCCTTAAATTTTAGTTGCCAATTCTCCCCGCTCTCCACGAGAGCGTGCGTCTTGCTTTACGACTTGTAATTATGTGTGGCTACTACTCAGACGCGTTGTACGTAGCATAACGTAATACAATCAGTGGCTATGCCATTGCCCGCTGGCAATTTTCCTCGCGCGTTCTTTTCTCTCCAGCATTGGCCAGATGGTTGCAAGCTGGCTATTGCGACCTTCAAGCTCAAAAAGAAACTCCTCGAAAACACGCCCCGCATAATGCGATACATCACCTGTAAACAATGATCAATGAATGGGTTACTAGATGCGTTGAGGCTCGTTTTAAACAGGCCATTGACAGAAGACCTGCACAAGGAATTGCAGTTTTTTATAGGTCATTACTGAACATTTACTTTGCTACAGTTTCCTTCTATCCGCCATGGCGCTAGATTGCCGCCACGTCCTCTTTCTTTTCCCCCGCTTCGATGTTATGGTCGTAGTCGAGTACCGTTCAGGATGAAACACTGGACGCTTTTCGGTCGGTGAAACTCAAATATAATCGTCAGGCTCATTCATACAGACTCCTTAGAGGTGGCATCCTATGCCATATCTGTTCCTCAGTTGCGATATACTTAGCATGTCCGATGGAAGTGTTCTTATGCCCACGATCTGCAACCCGCAGTTCGTCTAACTTTAGAGAGCTTTTCTTCGTACCAAACGTTATGTGGGCTATTACCCTGTTCTCGCTCTCGTATTAATATCCGATTTGAAAAGAAGACGGCGACAAGTCGGTGAGGGTTCGATCCACTTTGCAGAAATCATGCAGGATTTCAGCGCATACTAAATTATTGGTTCCCCTGACTGAATAATTGACGATACTTACCTTTTTTGGGATTCCTGTAAGTCCTCTTGCCAAGAGATATAGGAAAGTTGTCTGCGCTCAATTCTTTCTCTTCCCCATCTTCGAAAGCTTGAAAGTTCTGTCCGCCACCTGGTCGCCGAAGTGATACGAGTCTCTCGAAATTCGCTTGGAGGACATTATAATTTCTGTATATGGCGTTCGTCTGGGTTGATCCCTAGGTACGCGAACCATGCAGCTACTGGGGAAATTGATGCCAATTTTGTTCCAGGTGCCTGGATTACTTGCTCGGGGTACTTTCGATATCGCTCAACTCGTAAAGAGCATGACGTGTATAGAGTACGTATGTATCACCTTCGATCCCGGCATTATGCTCTGGGATCCTATGTTATATGCATGAGTTCCCTTGATTGGACCTGACTGGAGGAGAATTCAAGTAAGCCAAGCCTCGGAATTCGGAGATTCTTAAATGAGTTGCCTGACAACTTCTGCCTTGGATAGACATGATTAAATCCTCGACGTTGGACGGCTATAGCAGATTTACAATTTAGTCGGACCATTCGCACCGTGTGTGATGCGACCCGACAACTACTCGACGCTATCTTCTCAGTCCTGAGAGTCAGCAGCCATTGCCACCGGAACTTCCCACCCTCGTTCCCGCCGGAACCTCCAACGCTCCTGTGAGCGGTCTACTCGCTAGCCCAGATAAAGATATGCCAGATAATAATTTAACGATTGCTCTAATCAAGCTTCTCGATTTTTATCTCCTAGCTAAATGCTTTTATGTGGATTGCTAGAAGGCAACATAGGATGACACATTTTCGAACCAGCACTCGGCCTACATAATACGGCATTGCGGTCATCAAAAGGAAAAAAGCAAACGCCGCAATGAACCCGCCTTCCTTGGTTCATGGGCGCTCACGTTCCAAGCGGACAGAATCTCTCAGCAACCAAATATGTCCTCGGGCGAGAGTCGCGTCACCGAGTATCGACAATGCGCCCTCGCTCGAATGAGCCATTACTGAAATATAAATACGGCTACACCTCCAGTCCAAGTCTCCGTCAATTCGACAGCTTTCAAGTCCCTTTCTTCCTTGTTTCCGACCTCCCGATCATCTCCCATCTAGAACGCTGTTTTTCCTCATCAATAAGCTATCTTTGCGTTCTATCTTCGCAATGCGCTTGCTCCTTCCTCTTGCGTTTCTGCCCATTGTGCTTGCCACTCCTTCTCAAGGAGGACCACAGCCAGTGTGTCGACAAGCCACGATTCCGGTCACTATTACGGCCGACCAGCAGATCATCAATTTCGCCCAGCCAAAGAACCAATCAGAACTTACTGGTTTAATGACTAGTTTTACTAGCCAAAATTCGAACGTCACACAGGATCTTGTACAAGGGCAAAAGACCTTTACCGCAACCTACAAAATCTGGTCTCTTCTGTGTCTTCCATCCGGAGCCAAGCCTAGTACCGTCGAGTTTGCTGTACATGGGTACGTCCAGTGATGTTCATTAAATGACTTTGTACCTATCGTGGGTTTTTGCATTCCAGAATCAACTTCGATCACAGTTACTGGAATTTCGGTGGAGAAGGGTCCCAATATAATTATGTCGATGCCGCTGTCGGAGCAGGACACGCCGTCTTCATTTATGATAGACTTGGTGCGTTCATTCCCATCCGTTCATATAAATATCCTTTTACCCGTTGTATAGGAATTAGCGAGTCTTCAAAACCTGACGGTATCAAAGAAGTTCAAGAAAATATAGAGATCGAAGTAGCTGCTGAGCTTATCAAATACATCAGGAGAGGAGCAACTGGCATTCCCTTCCAACAGATCGTTGGAATCGGTCATTCTTTAGGAAGGTTCGTGTATTGTAACGGAATATTGTCTTCAAAATATCCTGACCTATTCCCAGTTTGCAGCTCGCAGGAGTCGCTGCTAAATACGGCAATCTTCTCAACGCAACTGTTCTCACTGGATTTACACCTTTCACTGGAGCCTTCAACACGGCGATGGCTGCATTTGGCCTGACAATTGCATCAGTGCAAAACCCGTCTAGATTCAGTGTGTACCATCCCAATAGCGTC